AACCATAGTTTCTTTTCCCAGCCAAACATTATGTGAAAGTTAGCACAGTTATCCCATTTTTGAGAGTCAGATACCCTGTAAAGACAGGTTAGTTAGTAAAAGTGGTGGGTGAAAGTCTATTGTGGAAATGGAAGACTTGCCTGTGCTTAATGTTGGCTAATATTTCTACTAGCATTATTTATATTACATTACATATTTAATGTAATATAAATATCTATATATGTTTACTATAAATATTATATAACATAAATTTTATTGCATATAATGCTTACATATTCTGTAACATAATATTTATATGATAAATATAGATAATGTGTTATAGTTTTGATCAGATTCTCCATATATTGCTACTTAAAAAAAATAATTTTATTTATTTATCTGTCTTATTTTTGGCTGCGCGGGGTCTTTGTTGCTGAGCAAGCTCTTCTCTAGCTGTGAAGAGTGGAGGTGACTCTCCAGTTGCGGTATGCAGGCCCCTCACTGTGGTGGCTTCTCTGGCTGTGGACACAGGCCCTAGACACGCGGGCTCCAGTAGTTGCAGGTCCTGGGCTTTAGAGCACAAGCTGTTTGTGGTACCCGGGCTCAGCTGCTCTGTGACACGCAGGATCTTCCCTAACCAGGGATCGAACCCGTGTCTCCTGCATTGGCAAGCAGATTCTTTAGCACTGAACCAACAGGGAAGCCCTTCTGCTCCTTTAAAGAATTAGTACTTAGCCTTGGGCCACCGGGTCACTGGCTTTCATTTATTTATAAGGATGGTGGAGACTGGGCATTTCTGAAAAGTAATAAACAGATGTTCTCCACATCTATATGCGATGGTGTTACTTTAGAACTCCAAGGGCGAGTGGGGGATAGGATATTCACCAAGCGGGGGAGAGCTGTTAAGATGTTGATACAATTCAGCTTCTGTATCCAGTGTGCTGGTTCTCAAAGTGTGTTCCTGGAGCAGCAGCATCACCTGGGAACTCCTTAGACCTGCAGATTTTCGGGCTCCACCCCAGACCTACCGAATCGGAAATGCCAAGCCTGCCAGGAGGTTCTCATGCACTTAGGGTCTGAGCATCTTCACCAGGGTGGTCAAAAGTGTGGGCACAGGGGCTTTACAGGGAGCCTCCCGCTGGGTGCCCGCTGCTGAGAGCTTGGATTCTCTGTGGCCCCGTTTCCTCCTCTTGGGATGCTCTGAGGGCTAATTATGGCCACCCGTGAAAAGCACCTAGAAGAGTGGCTAGTCCCTGGCTCTCGTGTTATCTATTTATGATGATGAGTACTGCAATTGGTGATCTGAAGCTTTAGTGTTGTTCTCACTCACCTGAATCTTTATTACTGTCCTTTTATTTTCTGTACCTTTCCCACTTTGGGCTGGGCTTCCCTGATGGCTTAGATGGTAAACAACCTGCCCACAATGCGGGAGACCTGAATTTGATCGCTGGGCCAGGAAGAGCGCCTGGAGAAGGGAATGGCAACTCACTCCAGTATTCTTGCCAGGAGAATTCCACGGACAGAGTCTACAGTCCATGGAATCACACAGTCAGATGTGACTGTGACTAACACGTCCCGCTGTGGACCATTTCTGGCTCCGTCCTTCCTCTGTTTCTGCTTTGTGTTTGCAAATGTATTTCTCCTGATTGGTCAGGGTCTCTCTGTCCATTTACAGGTTGGTTTCTCTCTGATGGGATGGTGTGCTCCAGCTCACAGTAGTTAATTTCTTTGATCTTCCATTCTTACCGTATATATATGTATGTATAGTTTAGTAAGAAGTATTTCAGAAAAGGAGCATGCCAAAGAGCCTAGTGACATCAGAACAGATTGCATTCAACTTCGGAGATTTAAGAGGGTTTGTGTGCTGACAAGAACTCTGGTCTAGCTCCCAAAGACTTGTTCTTTCTGCCATGGGCAAGACAAGTCACTGCAACCTCCCAGGTCTCCTCATTTGAAAACCGTGTGTCAGATGCCTTGGTTCTGACATTCTTTTAAACTCTAATGTTCTATGACTCAACAGTAATAATGCATTTCCACAGGCGGTAAAAATATTCTAGACTCTTCCCTTCCAATTCTCACTGTTTACTTCCTCTGCACTTCCCCTTCCTGCCTCCCTGTTTGCCGGTCAGTCGATAGTGGGCTTCGGTGGGGGTGAGTTAACCCACTCTTTCCAGGGTGTTTTACTACCGAGCTCCCTCCAGAGGGTGGGAATTCTACAGTGAGGGTTGTGGCTGGGGCTTCAGTTTCATTCCTGAAACACTCCTTGAGCCTTGATCTATTCCAGGCACCCTGCCAGATCGCCAGGGGGGCGGGGGGTGGAAGGTGAACGCTGAGGGTCAGTTTCACCGGGTCAGTTTCTTAGTAAACACCTGTGAGCTCCACGTGGCCCTCTTTCTTTCAGGAAGTAGCAGAGTCCCATGGTAGCCAGGTGGGCGAAGGGGAGTGAGGACGATCCACCTGCCTTGGAGAAGACGCCACCTGACCCGCCGGCCGAGTGAGCCCCCAGGTAGCACATGGTTCTGGGGGCGCGGGGTGCTGGGAGGGAGGGAGTGGATGTTTGGCCTTGGGGTGCTGCCCACCAGCCCCTCTTTTCCACAGCGAGAGGCTGATCCCAAGGCCCTCATCCCCATCCGTCTAGGTTTTCTTCCCCGTGTATGACCCCCATCCTCTGATGGCCGTTGGGGTCTTTGATTCCAACAACAGTTATGCAAAACTGCAGCACAAGAGCTTTGGGGAGAAAGAGGAGACAGAGTCAGCTCATCCCTTGCCTGGCCCTCTGCCCCTTTGAAAGAGAGGTTAAAACAGAAGCGTCGTGGCCCTGCCTTCGTAAAAACAGGGCCAAGTCTCCCAGCATCTGGCAGAAGGCTGAGCTGGGAGCTTCGTTTGTGCCGCAGGACAGTTGTGTGTCTTGCGCACAAGAAAACTTAAGCCTCTGTTTTCACTTCAGTGGGTTGAATGGCATGCACTTTCCCCTAAGAGTTTCATTTTATTTTAAGCGCATGCAATTACTTGTCCATAAGCTGAGTCTGTCTTTGCCAGCGCCCATGTTCTGAGCTTGACTAGGCACTTGGGCATGCCAGCCTGGCATTGTTTCCAAACTTCCACTGTGGTCGCTTTCCTCTTGATTCCTGAGAGGGGCTGCTGAGGGTCTGACAAAGCCCATGCTAAATTATATCCTGTACTTTTCATCTAAGTGTTCATCGCTTAGTTGTGTCCAGCTATTTGTGACCCCATGGACTGTACTCCACAAGGCTCCTCTGTCCGTGGGGATTCTCCAGGCAAGAATACTGGAGTGGATTCCATGCCCTTCTCCAGGGGAGCTTCCCAACCCAGGGCTCGAACCCGAGTGTCCTGCATTGCAGGCAGAGTCTTTACTGTCTAAATCGCCAGGGAAGTCTACTTTCCATCTAGACTGGTCCCCAAATTAGTGGAATAGGCTTCAACAAGAAAAATAAATTCTGGATAACATAGGACCCTTCTTTGCAAGGAAAATGAAGAAGAGACTCCCCTTTCTGAAGAAAAAAAAAAAGAAAGATAATCTCAAGGGGCAGGCAGTAAATGGCACACTCTTAACAGTGTAAGAGGAAAATTAAAAAGCCCAACAGATTTACCGCATCCTCAACAGGTATTAGCCTTTAATGGATACAGTTTCCGATTCCTTGAAGGGATTTGCCCAGAGGATTACTTCAGAAACATCTACTGAGAAAACATTACTCCAACAGCACAGATTACGGCATGAATCACAGACCACTGTATACCAGTGTCTTTTTAAAGGGAGAATTTTTTTTATTGTTATTATTCTTAAAATGCCACTGAGATGGAAAATCATGCCAACCAGGTAGTTACCCTGTAATCACTCACATTATCTTTTCCAAGGAATGTCGGGGTAACTTATCTCAGTCACGAGGCAGGCATTATGAGATGCTGTGTGGCCTCACCCCAGCTTTTCCCTGTCTGTAAACGCAGGGCATTCTCTGCGGCACAGCGTGGAAGCCTAGCACCTCTTCCAGGTGAGTCTGTTCTGCTACAATGTCAGATGTCTGTACTTAAGTACTTGTTCGCTAGCTCTTTAAAATAGACTCTTAGGCTGATTCTACTTAGCTCAAAAGAAGTGAGGCAGAATTTTTGTGCCATACCTAAATGCCACACCTAATATTCTATATTGATAACTTGTATCTCAGCATAACCAGCCTATTGATCAAGCCATTAATAAAGCTTGATTATTTGCTGTAAGTTTGCTTTTGGTTGTTGGGTAGCTTGATCTTTCCCACTGTAATCAAGAACTGGGACAGATCAAGGATTCCAAATAATTCATCAAACTATGGGGGGAAATGAATGGCTATTAACGGCTATTGCTATATCATGCAAAAGAATAGCTTTTAAAAATTTAATGAATACTACCCAAGGTTTTAAAATTTGTGCTAACATATTCCATTGCTATATCAATAAATATCTTATGGATGGTGCATTTCAGTTATATCAGTACTCGCCCTATGCTAAGTCAACTTACTTTTAAATTTTCTATACTTGAAAACCCTTGAGAGCTGAATATACATAAATATTCATAATACTCTGTGGGGTGGATGCTTGTGAGTATGATATCAGAAAGAGAAGATTAGCATCGTTTTTTGAGTGTGAAGTTCTGTTTTGACACTTTACAGCCGTCATCTCATTCAACCATCACAAAAACTCTGAGAAGTAGACTGTATTCCTAGTTCACAGATTAGGTAGCCGGGGTCCAGAGAGGTTAAATACCTTGCCCCAGGTCACACAGTGAATAAGTTGGAAAGTCAGAATTTAACCCCGGTCTCCTGGTTTCCAGTCTATGCTCCGCACTGTATCCTACCACCATCCTCAGGTACACGTCGATGAATCTGGCCTTCAGTCTTCACCTTTCTCGTGAACTTTCGTGTACGTTCACTTTCATCTCGCAGGAGTATCCTGTTTCTACCATGTGGACATATGGCAGTAAGGGGACGTCTTTCTTTGTCCTTTCCTTAGGTGGCCCCGGGAGCCGGACCATGGACCCGATTCATATCAGCATGGCCAGCGCACCCCTGGTGAAGCACACCGCTGGTGCTGGCCTCAAGGCCAACAGACCCCGAGTCATGTCCAAGAGCGGGCACAGCAACGTGAGAATTGACAAAGTGGACGGCATATACTTGCTCTACCTCCAAGACTTGTGGACCACCGTCATTGACATGAAGTGGAGATACAAGCTCACCCTGTTTGCTGCCACGTTCGTGATGACCTGGTTTCTGTTCGGGGTGATCTACTACGCCATTGCCTTTATCCACGGGGACCTGGAGCCCAATGAGCCCCCTTCCAATCACACTCCATGCATCATGAGAGTGGACTCCCTCACCGGGGCATTCCTGTTTTCTCTGGAATCCCAGACGACCATCGGCTACGGAGTCCGTTCCATCACCGAGGAATGCCCTCACGCCATCTTCCTCTTGGTGGCCCAGCTGGTCATCACCACCTTGATTGAGATCTTCATCACGGGCACCTTCCTGGCCAAAATCGCCAGACCCAAAAAGCGGGCGGAGACCATCAAGTTCAGCCACTGCGCCGTCATCACCAAGCAGAACGGGAAGCTGTGCTTGGTGATCCAGGTGGCCAACATGAGGAAGAGTCTTCTGATCCAGTGCCAGCTCTCGGGGAAGCTCCTGCAGACCCACGTCACCAAGGAGGGCGAGCAGATCCTCCTGAACCAGGCCACCGTCAAGTTCCACGTGGACTCCTCTTCGGAGAGCCCCTTCCTCATCCTGCCCATGACGTTCTACCATGTGCTGGACGAGACGAGCCCCCTGCGGGATCTCACCCCCCAGAACCTGAAGGAGAAGGAGTTTGAGCTGGTGGTCCTCCTCAACGCCACCGTGGAGTCCACCAGTGCTGTCTGCCAGAGCCGCACATCTTACATCCCAGAGGAGATCTACTGGGGCTTCGAGTTTGTGCCTGTCGTTTCTCTCTCGAAAACCGGCAAGTACGTGGCTGACTTCAGTCAGTTTGAACAGATCCGGAAGAGCCCGGATTGTACCTTTTACTGCGCGGATGCTGAGAAGCAGAAACTCGAAGAGAAGTACAGACAGGAGGATCAGAGGGAAAGAGAGCTGAGAACGCTTTTGCTGCAGCAGAGCAATGTCTGACGGCAGTGGTGTTGCCTCGGCTTATCTCCGAGCGACTTTCGCATCTGAGCTACCTTCCAATGCAGAGATTACCAGGAAACTGAAAATATGTGGACGTGCCCTGAAACACTGCGCAGACTTACAGACCTGTTCCTCTGATCTGATGGCTTTAAACAACCTTTGCCACGTCTGAGAGGGTTCCTTTCTTCAATGCTCTGTCTGAAGCGAACTCCCCAAATTCAAATTTTCCAAAAGGGGGCTGCATTTCAAAAAAGCTGGTGGAGGGCTATGGGAGCAATGTCCTACTGAGTGGACAGACATTTCAGGATGCTGATACTGAAAGGAAATGCACTTCTTATACAAGGACATCAGCTATAATATAAGGTATTTATTCAGTCCAAGTATGAAAGACGTCACAACCGAGAGCTGAAATGTGGTTCGGTATCCACTTACATCGTTGCTTTAAAACACACTCATTTTTTTCAAGCAGAGAAAACAGTATTTATAATGGAGGCTATCTGGTCATACATAAACTGGGGCAAAGGGACTCTGTATTCACAAAGTATAATAATTCCGTTTTTACCTTTTTCAGTGCATGTTGATGTACAGAGTGAAATTGATCAAATTAGGAATGAACTGTTGTAAAAACATGCAAATGGAGATGACGTAATTGTTCACATTAAATTTTTTGTTGAAATGTACTAGCCCCTTTCTGTCTAAACTGACGTTCACAGGTCAGTAGCACCCATCAGTGTCATCAGGAGCTTTATTAGTAACTTAGCCCCATATGGGCTTAATCTGTCATAGTCTGTATCTTAACAGGGTCACCAAGTGATTCATGCAAAAATGAAAATTTGCAAAGCTTCACTCCCGACAGAGTTTCCGAAGTTAACTTTCTGAAGCCAGGGGACTCTGCTCATCCCTCATCCCCTGTTCTTTATTGTGGACCAGTATTCCTTTCAGGGGTTTCCTTCCTTATCTATTAAAATACCTTATCCACAGAGGAACTGCCGTGGACATTTCAAGAGCAAAATAACACTCTTGATAGTAATGGTTGTCTGTCTCAAGTCAAGTACATGCTTGCTGATTACAATCAGCACAAGAGAAAATTTCAGCCGCATAACAATCGAAAATTTGCTCCTACGTTGAAGTCCAGGAGATTGGCTGGGGCCATGAAGAACAGGAGGAGCCAAGGCGAAGGAGTTCAAATGCAGATGACTCCTTGAAGCATGAACAAAGCTTGATACCCTGATAGCATGTAAAGGGTGCCCTCAGTATTGAAATAAATCTCATACAACTCAGTGTTCCAGAGTAACGTTTGGATTTTGGCAGGATTTAGAGCATTTCTTTGGGGGCGGAGAATCAATGTGCTAGGATTGGCTAAATGTACAAAAGGTGAACTCTCATATCATTAAGAGCAGGACAGATTTGAACATTCATTGTTCAAATGAAGAATGGATGTGCACGTGACCCCATGTGTATGCATACTCTGACCTGCACACACATAAACCTGAACACACACACACACAGGCACGCTTCTCGTGGCTCTTCCATCATGGTTGTGGAAATTATCCGCAAAGACATTTGTGATGAAGACAGCAAATCTTCGACAAATGTGCTCATGTTTATTTTGTTCTTTAAGAATGGGAGTGCTGGGACTCAGAGCAAACAAGGCCTGTGATCTGGATTCAGGCTATCTGTGAAATGGTGTCGTATCATGTTACCATAATCCCAAGTCTCCTTCCATTAAACAGAAAATGTGTCTGAAACCTCTGACCCGGAACTGAACATTTAACACAGGTATAAAAACAATGGAGTTGAAGTTGTGAAAGTTTAAGAAACAATCCTAGTGCACAAGAAGTTACTGTCTTCAGTTATTCAGGAAGTTTTTTTGTTGTTTCTGTTGATCACTTTATGGCAGTTTGTTTTAGATCTTCATTCTCTTTTAAAAAATCACATTAGTGTAGTTAGATATTAGCCTTTTCAATTATTAAACTTTTTAATTGTATAATGTAGTGAAATCACAGGAAGATAATGCCTCGGCATGTTTACAAATTTTTGCTTGTACCATAAAGTTTTTTCACAGATTTACATCAGTGCTAATTTAAGTGTGATCAAGATTGGGAATCTTACATACTTATATTGTATATGGTACAATGATATAGCATAAGATTGAAAAGTCTTTCTTTATGTTCATTTTGCATATCTATTTTGGCCAAATTTGGAAGACTTGATCATCTGATCTATTGCAATACACACAAAATAAATATGTAGTTTCTCAAAACCCAGTATTTGTACCAGTCAATAAATCATGTTATAACATACTATTCAATAAATAGCACTAAAGTTGTGTCTGATTTGAAACTTAATATTTTCTAAGCACACTTACTTATTATTACTTTGTACAAAATCCTTCCGTGCTAACATGCTCACAAAAGGATTCAGGTGGCAAAATTATTTGATTATACCTGGACATGAATCTGACTGAAACAGACTCATACTCAACATCCAACTAAGAACAGTCAAACTAATAGAACGTTTTGACCCATAAAAAGGGTTTTTGCATTGTGAAAGATTTCCAGTGCATCAAGCCTTCTCAGTGCAATTGTTCAAAACGATTCTGTTACATTTGAGAAATCAGAAAGTAAACAGCATCAAGTCAGTGTAATCTGCAAGCTGTGTCTTATTTATGTGATAAAATACATTGTGATGGTAACCCACTCCAGTATTCTTGCTATGGATAGAGGAACTTGGCAGGCTACAGTCCATGGGGTAGCCAAAGAGTCAGACACAACTTTGCAACTAAATAGCAACAGCATTGTACTGACCTGGCACCCAGTAAGCATTGCACCAGACAGCCTAGTAAAGATTCACTCAGTGATCAAGACAAACCATCTTTGGTTTTCTTTCTTACTTATCAGGAAATTACAGCCCAGAAATGACTCCAGAAACCTAAAAGGTCCGGTTAAAAGTAGAAAATGCCATGCATGAGTGAGCTAGATATTTAGACAATTATCTTCTCTGATTTTTCTCTGAATTCACTGATTTAAATACCATAAAAATGTAAATGTTGTTGTAGTTATTCAGTCTCTCAGTCATGTTTGACTCCTTGTGACCCTAAGGACTGCAGCATGCCAGGCTTCCCTATCCTTTGCTGTCTCCTGGAGCTTGCTCAAACTCATGTCCATTGAATCAGTGGTGCCATCCAACCATCTCATCCTCTGTCGCCCCCTTCTCCTCCTGACCTCAATCTTTCCCAGCATCAGGGTCTTTTCCAAGGAGTCAGCTTTTCGTATCAGGCGGTCAAAGTACTGGAGCTCCAACATCAATCCTTCCACTGAATATTCAGGGTTGATTAAATAAGACAGATTTTTTTAAAAGGGACACTTCTACTGCAGGATGACTCTTTCTTCCTTCTTGAACCTTTAGGACTCAGACATCATCTGGAGAAAGAAGAAAAGAAAAAAGCAAAGTCAGGAAGAGCGGAAGCCTCTGCTCTGGTAGCTCAGCAGAGGAGCAGCCTCGTCTTCAGGCATGGTTCTGAACCCGGTCTCTGGTCAAAGAGTTAGACATCAGACAGCGTGACGATAGCAAAGCCTTCCAGCCTCTTATTCTTGGCTTTCATGCATGCTATATATTTTGTTCTGTTAAATATTTGAAAAAGCTAGTTTTGAATGCAGGCTATTTTACCATAGCCTTCTGGAAGGGACTTTTTTTCAAGTGAAAGGTAGTGGCATTTCAAGTCTTAATTTCCAAGTTCTTCATTGTGCATATTTCAGCATTTGACCCTGCGTAAGTCCAAGGTGCACTTGATTTTCTTCCCTTAGGAAGACTTACCCCTCCCTGAAGGTCTAAAGCTTAACATTTCACTTCTAATTGATTAACTATTAATACATACACTTTGCCTTTTGTGAATTTCAGTTTATCTTTAATCAGAATGTCCTGCCAACCAGTCTTTGGGTCTTTGGGCAGCCAAGAGTGGCTTCTGCTCTCAGAGTAAGGTGCCTTGTAAGAAGAGTTTGAGTCTCCAGAGTAAGAATTTGCAATGAAAAAGTATAATTGGAATTTAATTTTATAATTAGAATTAGATTGAAAAAAAATAAAGCAGTTACTTAACTTCTCGAGGCATTTGTATATTCTTTGGTAGACTTTTTTTAAATTGCTGTTCTGTTGTTTTGATTTTTTAAAAGAAATCGGAAACAACGTCTTTGTCAGAGTAAGGAAGGCAGTAAGAAAGGTGTAAAAAAAAACAGCAAATAGTTGACCAGTTAGGCTTCCATGTAAACAGACTTCTACCAGTGAAAAAAAACTTCAGAGAAAATATTGGTCATTCAGTCTCACATTACAACAAACCATCATCATATCCTCTGGCTTCCCAGGAATAGCAATTTTCCTAACTCTTAAGAAACACTGATGAATTAAGTCCAACTTTTTTCCCAAAAACTTTCCACTAGACACATAATGAGAGAGAAACATGAGGCAAAAATAAAGCTCCAGGCATTTCACTTCATCTTCATCCTCTGTCAGTTCTCCTGAGTCAGTTTCCTCCCAGCTCCCCATGTGCTTGGTTGATTATGCCTCATCTTTGCCAGCCATTCTAGCAAGCCAAATAAACCCGTGGGTTAAAAATAATCAATCCAAATTAGTAGTAATAACTTGTGGACATTTAGATGCCTAAAAACTGGGGATAGGAACTCTCATCTTTCAATGAGTACGTTGCTAGTATGTTAAAATAGAAGACAGAGAAAAAGCTGCTGATTGGAGTGGATAGTTAATTCCTAATAAAATTACAAGAATTGATTATGGAAGTCAAAAGACATAATGGGTACATGAGCAGAAATGCCCAAGGTGTCATACATGTAGATAAAGGCCACATGACTAGTAAAGGGAGTGAAGTGTACACATGTTCAGTTGTGTCTGTCTACAGACCCCAAGGACTGTAGCCCACCGCCCTCCTCTGTCGATGGGATTCTCCAGACAAGAATACTGGAGTGGGTTGCATTTCCTCCTTCAGGAGATCT